AAGGCTAATCATGTTTTGGGTGTACTATTCCTTTAAGAAACCGTCTCTTGACCCAGATGACTTGGTCAATTATAGACCTATATCCAATCTTCCTTTCTGTTGTGCAAAATAATGTCCTGCAGATAATGAATAGATGGTTAACTAGAATTGGAGTTATAGCTAATTATTTAACCTATTCAAAATTGAAGGTAAAATCAATTTAGCGTTCTTAGTTGGGTAATTGTAGCTTTGAATTATCTACTTACCGGGTTGCTGATTCACCTCTGGAGGGTTCCTGGACCGGCTGTTAAAATCCAGGTCTACACCAGATTGGTGGCCCAGGTCAAGTGGCTAGCAGAGCTATTAATTATCAATAAAGAACCTCTTATCTCTGTTTATTCGCACTATTACCAAAAGGGGTTGATCCAACCTGAGTGATAAACCCCTGTTATATGAACGACCAGAACCACTACAAATTAACCAATGATGTCTTTATTCTAATAATTCAGGATTACAGAAAATCTAACATCTATGCAAACACTACACGCTATTAGAAAAATAAACACGAGGTAGATTAAATGACTAGTTTAACGAAATTGAAAATAAGGAATAAAACAAAATAGAAAACAAAGGAATAAAACCATAAGAGTCCGTTTACTGGTGTCTGAGATTGTCCAAAATATGCCAGATATTAATACATTCACTAATGTCCGTTAGCAGCAGGTATGATGATAACAGTGCAATTACTCACGTAAAATTAATACATCCAGCTTAAAAATTAGTAAATGATAAAAAATGTATTAACAAATAGCAGCAGAAGTCGTTTAGCAAAACACATTAACGAACAATGTACCTGTGTGTGAGAAGGGGATGTAGCTAAATGAGGGACCCCCCCCCTTTTTCCACGTGATGAGAGGAACAAAGAAAAATGGGGGAGGGACAGCCTGTAATCAGCCGACCGCGTGGCCCCACGCGGTTGAATGTGGTAATTCGGTAATGGTCTTAAGGTAGACACAAGAGAAGATAGAAAAGGAAAGAAAAAGGGGAAAGAAAGTTCACTTGCAGCCTCACAGCAGACACACTTCAACCAAATGAACCAACTCTTAATCAGCGCAGATTAAAAATCAGCATTAATTCAAATCCCTGAATCTACCTGTCTCTCTCGCCGAGCACAGCACCTCATTAATGCATCAAAAGGAGAGGAAATTGATTTACTGTGAGATGCCTTTGGTCCGTGAAGGGGTGTTGTTTCCAAAGGAACCGTGGCCTGGTTCCGGCCGCGCAGAGGGTTTCTCAGCACCGGGTCCGCCCTCGGGAAAGTTCAGTCAGTTCGGTGCTGCAGCAGAGGGCTTGATTTGCTCTCAAGTCGAAGAGGATGGATTTTGCGGAAGGAATCGGCGAGGAGCGTCCTCCTGGCCGACCCGTCCAAAAGGAAGGGGAAACGAAACTCACTCCACGGTCAGCTTCAAAGTCTTCCGTCTCCCCAGCTGGCGCAGCCGCTATGCACGATGGAACAC